GTGTTGAACCTAGGCCATGTCTGCAAAGACACCAACTCTCCTATTGAAGAGACAGTGACATCTGAGAGGAGGGGGACTGTCACAGCTGCAGAAAGCAGGGCCAGGGCATGAAAGAGGGATTGTGGCAGTAGCAGTGTGGAGAAGTTAGGGAGAGTTGGGGAGAGGCAGCGGATCTGGCCAGGTGACATGGAGCCCTGGAGGCGGTGGGGTGGCTGCCCAGAAGTGCGATGTGCAGGGCAGCAGGGCTTGGAGACCTGTTGGCTGAGGCTGGAGGAGGAGAAAGGGAAATGAAGACTGAGGGGGAAGGCTTGCCAGCTGGGTGAGGGTGCTGTTTTCTTAATCGAGAGGGAGAGTGGGTGGGGGGGTGCAGGGAGCCTTATGTAACGGCTTTTGGTTCTCTTCAGCCAGTTAGGTTGACTGGCCGGCTGGCCTTCAGCAGTGGCAAGCCCGAGGAGGGGTGATGCCCATGGGAGCCTGCCTGCACAGGACAGGGTAGTGTTTCTGAAAGGGAACTAGTGAGTTACTGAGTCTTTGTGTTCTTAATCTAGTTTGACTGGGAATGGGGATACAAATCTCCATCATCACCTCCTGAAAACACCAAAAATAACCCCATGGTGTTAATAGCTCATTTGTGCAACAGATATGTACTATGTGTCAAACATTGCTGACCCTGGGGACATCACAGTGAGTGTGCCAAAATGCCTCCAAGAAGTTTCTGGTCTCCTAGTTAATAGGAGACACGAGCAGGCGGGGTTGCAAGCTACTTGGGACTCCTTTAAACTACTCCCCAGCATCATAAGTTCTAGGTTCCAGTCTTGGCTGCATAGCTTGCTTACCTGATAACCTTGGGCCAGTTACTTAACCTCTGCCTCAGTTTCGTCATGCATTAAGTTGGAGGTAACACTATGACGGACTTCATGGTGGTGGTGGTGTGAGGATATGTGTAAAATGCCCAGCACATAGTACAAACTCAGTGCATGGTAGCTAGTCTCATGTGTACTCAAGCCAGGCAAGTTTAAGTCCTACGACTTTTTCAAGTAAAGTAAGTTGGAACTTGTATAGTTCTGTACTGTCATCCAAGGAAGCTGCTGGGCCCCCCTTACTCCTCATCCCCGCTACATTGGGGTAATGAGTATTTCTAGTCCCGTTTGTGTATCTGAGTAGACAGGTTAGAAACTTGCCTGAGAATCTCCATCTCCCGCCTCTTTCTCCTCCTCCTTTGTCATCTTTTTAAAAAATATTTTAACCATATTTTAGTGTACAGTTCAATCGTGTTAAGACTATTCACATTGTTCTGTCACAGAGCTCCAGAACTTTTTCATCTTGTGATACTGAAACTCTATACCCACTCAACAATAGTGCTCCTTCTTGACTGCACTGAGGAGCCAGCCCCCACCCCCACACACACACACTGGGTGGATTTCTGTCTCCCAGTAGGCAAGTAGCTCAGCTGAACCTGAGTGGATAATGTACAGTGGATAAGCAGTTTCAACTGGAATAAGGTAGTTTTATTTTATTTTATTTTATTTATTTTATTTTATTATTTTATTTTTTTAAAGATTTTATTTACTTATTCATGAGAGACACAGAGAGGCAGAGACAGAAGAAGCAAGCTCCGTGCAAGGAGCCCAATATGGGATTTGATCCCGGTACTCCGGGATCACGCCCTGAGCCGAAGGCAGACGCTCAACCACTGAGCCACTGAGACGTCCCGAACAAGGTTCTTGTTCTTGTTCTTTTAGAACAAGAACTTTTATCTCTCCCCTTTGAATCATGGAAGCAGTCTCCTCTCCCAGGTCACCTAGTTTTGACATAGGCTGGTCCTTGGATGGAGGGGAACACATTGCACTAGAGTAGGAAAAGCCTTCTCTCAGGTCTGCCCAACTTAATAGTTTTGGTCCCAAGCCCAGAATACAATCAATGTGCCTTTTAGAGGTCATTCTTAGCTCTGTCTCAGAAGGAAGAATGTAACTCAAAAGACAGTCTGGATTGCTGACTGCCTTCTGGAAGCTGACCTTTTGTTCTGTGGATGGAAATCGTAAAAAACTTAATGGTAGCCAGTATTTTTGGAGTACTTTTACAGTTTATAAAGTGTTCACATATAGTGTTCTTTTTAAAATATTTTATTTATTTAAGAGAGACAGGAAGAGAGAGCACAAGCCGAGGGAGGGGTAGAGGGATAGAGAAGAGCAGACTCCCTGCTGAGTAGGGATCCCGACTTGGGACTTGATCCCAGGACCTTGGGATCATGACCTGAGCTGAGGGCAGATGCTAACCAACTGAGCCATCCAGACACCCTACATATAGTATTTTTGTAGATGTTTTTTCTTCGTTACAATCTCCTGATTCAGGCCATGCAATTATCCCCTTTTCATAGCTGGGTGATGAAGTAACTTATGGACATCATCCAGCTAATAAGTCAGGCTCAAGGGCAAGTACTCATCCTCAGGATTTCTGGCTTGAAAACTTAGGGTCTTTTCTCTTATGCTGCACCACTGCCTTGTTCTTACCAGTCATCAGAGGGGCCCAGGACTAAACAGCTCAGGGAGGCTTCTTCTGGCTTTTGCTTGGGGGAAGGATGTTTCCTGGTCCTGCTGCATCACATTCAAGGAGGTGCCTGCATCCAGTGGTTCTCTCTCTCATAAGTACATCAGTAAAATTTCTTTGGTTGTTTAAAAAACACACACACACACACACACACAAACAGTGGTTATTGTTATGTGTGGGGAGCTTTGTAAAGTTCTCCTTTGTCTTGATTGGATTGCTCTGCCTTGGCTCAGTTGGATCTGCTCCATCTCTGTCTCAGTGGCCGCTGCAGGGAGGATGAGTAGGGTTCTCGTCTGACTCCACCTGTAATATAGCTTAACTCTTCTCCTTAGCCTTGCTTGCTCTTTGCATATTATGAAGTGGAATGTTGGCCATGTAGACTCTCATTATGTCCCTAAACCTGAAGCTTCTACTGACTGTGGGAGGTAGAGAAAAGTGCCACCATGGTTGTTGTGAACTAGAGTTAGGGAAGAATATTTTAGGACTTAACCGTGACTCTTCCTTAATAACTCAACTGCTGGCATAAGTAGAGTCAGAAATCTTTCTTTCTTTCTTGGGGAGGGGGAGGATAGAGGCAAGGGGCAGGATAGGTAAAGCCAGTTGCAATGCTATTAGAAGGAAGGTTACTTATGCTGAAAAAGGCATCCAGGTATCCTATCTGTCTCTTCTCCTGTTCTGTGTGTGTGTTGGGACCCTGAAAGGCTTGCAGTTGGTTTTCCCTGTGTAATTCCGTGAACTGGACATGGGAGGTAGGGAAGAGTATAGTGGTGGTAAGAGCAGTACTCAGATCTGAACCATTTTATCTACGTGGGGCCTAGGGTTCTAACTTCCTGGAAAACGGGCTTATTTGGGGACTTGGGGAACTTAAGTTGGAATGACTCTATTGTTGCCAGGAAGCAAGTATGTGCTCACTTTAACTTGAACACCATATGAGAGGCCAGCCTCTTTGCTATTAAGCCCATGAGCTCCTTCTTAGGTAACCACATTTTTAGTTCATCTTCCAAGTGCATTTGGGCAGATGCTTTTTTTTGTTTTTTATTTCCTCCATTAACACCCAAGTCCACAGTGTCCTTGGTGTATAGTATATTCTCAGTGTCATAGTACCAGCCTCACCTGAGCATCCTGTAGCCCCCTGAACACTTTTTCCAAGAAGGAAAGCATTTGTCAAGTGGGAGTGTCCACAGAGAGTTATTTTCCCCTTTGGACCTTTCTCATATATGGACCTGATATCTCTGCACAGCAGCGAGGTTCCCCCATTAGCCTGTGAACTCTTTGCTGCTCATGTGGTGCCATGTGGTACTGTAAGTAAGGGGCACAGGGGATGTAAGCTCATTCAGCGAAAACCCTCCCTCGGGCAGGCCACAGGAGCCGCGAGAGGGGGATGTCTGACAGGTGTGCCAGCCTAGAGCCCAGACCATAGCTTCTCTTCTCCCACGTGGGCTACCTCTGTGAGTTTCAGAACATAGAAGGGTGGCAACACCCTTCGGACAGTGCCCAGCCCAGAGCAGTCACTTGGTTGCTCAGTGAATGCCAGTCAGTGTCCCTTTACATCCTTTATTTATTCCCATTGATCCCGACTACAGTTTGGTCCATGTTATTTTGTAGGGTGTCCCGTCCCTATCCTCCCCCGCCCCCACAGAAAGTAGAATAGTTTGCTGTGGGTAAGGGTAGACATGATGCAGTAGGAAAAGCGTCATCATCTAGGACCCGAGAGTCCTGAGTTCTGGAAATGGCTCTGCCATTCCTTGTCTCTGGGACCTCTGACAAGTCACCTCTCTGTGTGTGAAGTGATGGCATGGGACTGGATAAGCATGTTCTTTTCTAATCTATTAGGTTAGACCTTCTCAGGTCTCATCTTACAGGAAGTGGTAGCCAAAGGATCAAAAGTCAGTCTATATTCTACTGATGGAAAGGAATAAGGAGAGGATTGCATTGCATGGTTGGGTACTTCACGCTAATATAAGAAAGGATTGATGGTGGGCAGCCCCGGTGGCTCAGCGGTTTAGCGCCGCCTTTGGTCCAGGTCCTGATCCTGGGACCGGGGATCGAGTCCCACGTCGGGCTCCCTACATGGAGCCTGCTTCTCCCTCTGCCTGTGTCTCTGCCTCTCTCTGTGTGTCTCTCATGAATAAATAAAATCTTAAAAAAAAGAAAGGATTGATGGTGAGCTAAGGGTTTCTATTTCTGTAATCTCAGTATATTGGTGGAGAGGTTTTTTTCACAATTAGTGTGATCCCTTCTTCCCCCTTGCATGCAGATAAATCATGGGACGTGGTATCTCTCTCTTAACCTTAGAACTTGCAGTGCTAGAGGCAGGAGAATTTGGATTGCTGGAATTCACAGAACACCCTGTACTTGTTGGGGGCTGGCCTGAGGGGGGGAGTGGGGGGAGGGATGGCTCTTGAGCTCCCAGGTGGTGATGGCTGTGTTCTGCCTTTGTCCTTAGGTGAGCGATGGCAGGCTCTGGTGAGCGCAAAGGCAAGAAGGATGACAATGGCATTGGCACAGCCATTGATTTTGTGCTCTCCAATGCCCGACTGGTGCTGGGGGTGGGTGGAGCAGCCATGTTGGGCATCGCTACACTGGCAGTTAAGCGGGTAAGTGTATGTGCAGCTGGGGCCAGGGGTGGGAGAGGTGGTGAGGCTGTCTCTGCAAAGTGGAGCTGACCTGGAACAAGACTCCCAGTACTGCTAATGGGAGTATAAGCTGGTAATGTGGCATCATAAGATGAGCCTTTAGGAGAATTCACTAAGTTCACTTCTAGGACTTTGCTCTCAAGAAATCATTGGAGATACAAATAAATAAATCTATGCCAGCGAGTTAAAAAAAAAAAAAGGCAAATAACCAAAATATTTTTCCTTAATTACCTTATTTAAAATAGCAACAGTCCCACCACATATATATTTCCTACTTCCCTTTCCTACTTTATTTTTCCTAATACTTATTCTTTCTGCATACTTCACATTTAACTTGTTTATTATGTATTACCTATATCCTTCCACTGGACTGGAAACTCCATGAGGGCAAGGGTTAGGTCTCTTTGGTTTATTTTTTCTGTGTGCCTAGAACTGTGCCTGGCACACAGTAGCCATTCGGTATCTGTTAAGTAAGTGAATCCGTGTTCAATGTTAACGGTACATTAACATTCATAAGGTATAATGTTATATAGTCAGAAAAGGTGCCATAATGTTGAATACCGGTTCGTTTTTAGTGGCATGGGGAAATGATAAAAGTGATCAGTGAAAAAAATTCAGTTCCAAAAATATATATGGAGTTGGATCCTAATTATATAAATACATATTTCTGGAAAGAACTGGACCAAAATATAGTTATATCTGTGTTGTGACATTATGGTAAAATTGGTTTGTTACTTGTATCATTTAGTATTTCCTGAGATTTTCCACATGCAGCAAAGTATTCCATAATCTAGAATAAAACAAAGTTATTGAAAAATAGTGGTTGAACTCCCGAGGGCAGAGCTGCTGGGAAGAAGGGAAACGGGAAGGAAACTACCTATGCCGGTCCTCTGCTATTTCAGATGTACGATAGGGCAATCAGTGCCCCTACCAGCCCCACCCGCCTGAGCCATTCAGGGAAAAGGAGCTGGGAAGAACCGAACTGGATGGGCTCTCCCCGGTTGATGAATAAAGACATGAAGACAGGCCTCAGCCGGTCCCTACAGACACTTCCCACAGACTCCTCAGCCTTTGACGCAGGTGAGGGAAAGGTTGTTCCCCCTCTAGGACTTCTCTGGGCTCTCAGTACCATGCCTGCATTCAGCAAACATTTCTTGAGCACGTGTGTGCCAGGCACTGTGCTAGCACTTGCCTGTTGTGCCAGGCCCTTCTCCTTCCTGGGGCCGAGGCAGCTGTGGACTAAGCAAGCATGGGAAGAGCTCACATGCCTCTCTCTCTTGCCTTGGCAGATACATTCTGCCCGCCCCGGCCCAAGCCATTGGCCAGGAAGGGCCAGGTAGACTTGAAGAAGTCACGACTCCGCATGTCCCTGCAGGAGAAACTTCTTACTTACTACCGGAACCGGGCGGCCATCCCTGCTGGCGAGCAGGCTCGGGCCAAGCAAGCTGCCGTGGACATATGTGCCGAGCTCCGGAGCTTCCTGCGGGCCAAATTGCCTGACATGCCACTTCGGGACATGTACCTGAGTGGCAGCCTCTATGATGACCTGCAGGTAACAAGGTGGTTCTCACGAAGGGTAGGGTTGGGTGCCGACCAAGATACTTCTCAAGAGTGCTTTTGGTACAGAAGATCGGTGTCCCAGACTTGCTGGAAAGACTGAGGTCTTACTGCTTCTGAATTTTGCCCACTCTGATAGCACTTGTTGGGTTGTCTTTAACCCATTCTTGTTCTGACAGTCGTGGGTTTAAATCTTCACTCTATTTGAATTGATAATGGTGACCTGAATGAATTTGTAGTTTCCTTTATTATTGGGGGAAAACAAGCTGGTGGGACCTGTATTTGGGGATGCTTGTGTCTTGAGCAGTTTAAGTCCCTCAAAAGCTTTTTTAAAAATCCTGCCCCAACAGGTGGTGACGGCTGACCACATCCAACTCATCGTGCCCCTTGTGCTGGAGCAGAACTTGTGGTCATGTATCCCCGGTGAGGACACCATCATGAATGTCCCTGGCTTCTACCTGGTTCGTCGTGAGAACCCAGAGTATTTTCCTCGTGGTAGCAGTTACTGGGACCGCTGTGTAGTAGGGGGCTACCTCTCCCCAAAGACAGTGGCAGACACATTTGAGAAGGTAGTGGCTGGCTCCATCAATTGGCCAGCCATAGGGTCCCTCTTGGACTATGTGATCCGACCAGCACCACCCCCAGAAGCCCTGACTTTGGAAGTGCAGTATGAGCGTGACAGGCATCTTATCATTGACTTCCTGCCATCAGTGACCCTTGGCGACACCGTCTTGGTAGCCAGACCACACCGGCTGGCACAGTATGACAACCTATGGCGGCTGAGCCTGCGTCCCGCAGAGACGGCACGCCTGCGGGCTTTGGACCAGGCCGACTCGGGCTGCCGATCGCTGTGCCTCAAGATCCTCAAGGCCATATGCAAGTCCACGCCGGCTCTGGGCCACCTCACTGCCAGCCAGCTCACCAACGTCATCCTCCACTTGGCCCAGGAGGAGGCTGACTGGTCTCCAGACATGTTGGCCGACCGATTCCTACAGGCCCTGAGGGGACTCATCAGCTATTTGGAGGCTGGAGTCCTGCCCAGTGCCCTAAACCCCAAGGTGAACTTATTTGCAGAGCTCACTCCTGAAGAAATAGATGAATTGGGATATACTCTCTATTGCTCATTGTCAGAGCCAGAGGTGCTGCTGCAGACGTAGGGCAGGTGGAGGCCTAAGTGGGTGTCAGGTGTCAGACCCTGGCTTCTCCGTTAGAATCACTTGGCTGCATAGTTGGTGCCTCACAGGGTCCCTAGGTGCCTCCTATCTTGCTGGTCATCACCCTGTCACTTCATGCTGATCAGAATGCCATCTCTTTCATCTCCTGTTTTCTCACCATCCCTTTCTTTTTGTTACCAAACACTGTGCTCCTTCTCCTCCCCTCCCCCTTGCTCCAGGCTAATTTTTCTGGAATGAATTGAGAAGGCAGAGCACCGGTCTGAGCTGGTGTTTTGCATTTTGGTCCAACTTTTCTGTTCCTGTCTGCCCTGTCCTTTGGCCTGTTTCTTTATAGTGTCTTCCCCATCTTTTCCTCTTGGTTTCGCCTTCTGTTGTGCTCTTTCCCCTGGAGCATATCTGCCTCGTCAAGGTGTTGCCTTTTCATTGATCGGCACCGAAGAGTTACGGTTGCCTGTTTCCGAGCTGAGCTCCGCAGTGAGCACTCAGACAGTATTTAGAGTTTCTGGGGGTAGAGGTGGCTGAAGAGCTGCCCTTTGACCCAGGTTCCCGGAGAAGCAGCCCATCTCCCCCGCCTCCCAACCAGCTCATATTCCTAAGTGCTGAGAAGCCCTCACGGGAACACTGTTATTGACCCACACAGGAGTGAGGCTCAATATAAACTGGATGCAAAGTTGCTTGGAGATTGTGTTTTTTAGTGGCCATCAGTGAGAGTGCAGTGGGAGAGTCGGCAGCAGGGAAGAGGGCCTAAGGAAGGGTGTGTTTGCCTCACTCTTGGCTGGCCCAGATCAGCACTGCCTTGTGGAGGAAGACGAGGGAGGGGTCTGTTGGGATGGCACCTCTGCCCAAATGCTGTTTGTCAACCCCTTCCTTGCCTTATGCCAATTAGGATGAGACCCTCAGGGACACAGCCTCTGTGGTAGAGGCTGAAGGGAGGGTGACAGGTGGCAAACGGCTGAAAAACCCAGTCACCTGTTGAGGCTTGGCGACCATGTTTCTTCCCCACAAGGCCCTGCCTTCCCAGGCCCCCAGCCTATTCATTCCCTAGTGTTTGCCACAGGAACATGAGGAGGGTGTGCTCCACTCTCCAGGCACCGCCGGAGGCCAGAGGGCAAGCAGACATGGGCTGACCTCTTCCCCGTCCTGTCTCACCCCACACCTGGGGAGACTGGTGCTACCCAGGAAGAGGGCACATGGGTAAAACACGGAGGAGGGGAGGCGGCTTCCTGCGCTCCCTCTGCTTTCCTGCTGCTAAGTCAAAAGTTTCCTGAGGGTGAGGAGGAGCGTTTCATACACCACCTTGTTCTGTGCTTTTTTTTTTTTTCCTGTTCGTGGCAAGAAGCCAATAATAATTGTTTTTGATCTGCCCATCCAGTATTTTGTTCTCCCATCAAGTTTTATTATTTTTTCTCTTTGTACTACCTCTCCATCAGCGAGATTCTGGTGAAGCTCTCCGCAGCTGTCTCATTCCTCCCCAGTGACAGCAGCAGGAAATGATTCTTTAAATAGCATTGAAACCTCAGCTACCCTTTGAATTTAGGGTAGAGATTCCTGTTCCCTTTTTGTCATGGATGAGGAGGTTGCAAACTAGGGTTAACCTTGGCTGTATTTGGAAAATTTTCCTCCTTCTTGCAAGGTTCCTAAAGTGGTTCATTTGTCATTTGTATGAAACTATTGAGAGAATGAAAAACCTAAAGCCTGGAACTCTTCTCCATCCTTGGCTGTTCATCAGAATCAGTTTAAAGAAAATCTCTGTGCCTGAGTGCTACATGAAGTGACTGGCATCATGGTACAGGGCTGAACCTGGCATCCATCGGAGGGAAGGGAGAAGGGAGGTTGCAAAAGCATGGGTTAGTCTTGAGAGAAAGGATCTCATTTTCCTAATGTATTACAGAACCTAGTTTTCCCAAGCTGCCATCTTTGACCAAATTCCATATAAAACATTGGAAGGAGAGCTGAAAGAACGGTTTTAAAGACTTAAGTCTCCAATTATCAAAGCCAGGTGTAATTGTGATTTGAAATTATCTCCTTTCTTAAAGAGTATCTTCCTAAGGTCATCTCTGTCTCTTAACTAGGTTTCACAAAACCAAAAACCGTAACTTTCCCATTTCACAAGCCAGAACCACCTGGAAGTCCTCAAAACTAGGAGCAGTGGGAGTTCTTGGCTCTGGTCCTGGCAGGTTTGCTGACTGAGACTGGACAAGCCTTGTAAAACATGGAAGATAGTCCAGTGCTTTGATATTCTTGGATGGAAGAGGGTAACATTTTGCCTAACCTCTACCCTCCCTCCATGCCCACCCCCCACCCAATTTTTTTAATCTTCAGGGAAGGATGTTGTGCCTTTCCCTGCAGTTCTGCCTTTCTAGTCAGTAACTCCCACCTTTGCCTGAAGTAATGGCATCTGCTCCTACTTTTCCATCTTGACATTTTCTTCACCATCTAGGTTAGCATACCGTGAGTTAGCCGAATGCTTAAAAAATACATTCATTGTCTTGAAAGCCTAATCAATTCCAAAGTGTATTTTGTTTTTTTCCCTGTTGCCCCTTCCTTAAAAATGAGTTCAGGATAACAGTATTTTATATGCTTGGTTGTGACTTTTTCCCCCCTCAAATAAATAATCAAAAACTAATGTTTGGAAAAGCTGTGTTGAGGCCTGTAGTCTTTCCACTTGGGTCTCAGCCCCTGGTGGTCTCCCTATTCATACTCCAGATTAGCTGATTTTGTTCCCTTGTACTCCATTCAAGTTGAGATTTTTTAAAAAATAGATTTAAGAGAGCACAGCAGGGGGAAGAGCAGAAGCAGAAGGGAGGGTGGTCAAGCAGATTCCCTGCTGAGCAGGGAGCCTGACACAGGGCTCAGTCCCAGGACCCTAAGATCATGACCAAAAGTTGGTGTGTGGTGTTTTTTGTTTTGTTTTGTTTTTAAAGTAGGCTCCACACTCAGCATGGAGCTCAACACAAGGCTTGAACTCAGGACCCTGAGATCAAGAGCCAGATGCTTAACTTACTGAGCCCCCCCCCCCCCCCAGGCACCCCTTGAAAACACATGGTTTTTGACAAGAAATCAGCTTCAGGATCACAAGGTCCTGGAGAGGCCCCAGGAGGGGCTCTGTAAGTAGAGAACCCTACATGTGTCTTAGTCCTCTGCCATGGCGTACCTTCCTTGATACTGTGACCCTGGCTGAAAACTTCTGCTCACAGGTTTGGTTAGCACAATGCCCTTCCTGCTAAAAGCTCAAGGCCAAAGAGAACCATAAGGACACTTAGTAGAGCTGTCAGCTGTGGCCCTTTCAAACACTGCTGATTCTTAAGTGGCCAAAACGCCAGATGTGGGTTCTGAGGCTGTGTCTAATGTGTTTACTTTGTCATTCGGATCACCCTGTAGTCTTTAAATTCTTGGTCTCTGAGACCAAGTCCACAACTTGCCTTCCAGTCACTTGTCTGCCCTTTAGTAGCAGTGGATACATTCAGCTGGTAGATCTGGAATCCATCACTGGTCTTTCTGTCCCACCTTGGCTAGGTCTACACAGAAGCAGCTTAGCCCTGAGACCCGGACAACTGCTATCTTTTTTCTCCTTGAGGGAGGAAATAAAGCTGGGGAACTTGAAGTCCTTCCACAGCATGGAAAGAAAAAATAAAAGTCTCCTTTCCAACAGCTTTGGCTTCTGTGTGTGGTATGAAACATTTTCCTTTGGGACTGGTACTGCTTTTCCATTTTCAGCCAGGCGAACCTTTGAAGTGCTTGATCTGGGTCTCCATGATGGCATGGATAGGATAAGCTACCACTGGAATCATTCATCTCTGACCTCTGCAGCGTCAAAACCGGGGCAGTGTTACTTTCTCAACCTTCTGCATGGTCATCTGTAAGGAGGCACTGGCAGGTCTCCTGCTACAGCAAGAGGAGAACATGCCCTATGGTCTTTAGTTACACCTTGGAAGACCTGTGTAATGGCTCAGGGATACTAACTGTCTTTGCACCGAAAGACTAGACAGCTTCTTTATATCTTGACATTTGCGATTCTCCAAGGCAGTAGAGGAACCATACTTGGCCCAGCATGTACCAGTCGTTGCTGGTTTCATCTCAGTAATAGGTGGCCCTTGAAGAAGCAGGATGATGTAAGAAAGATGTGGAGTGGGAAGGTCAGGATCAAAAGACCGGAGTTCTAATAATGATAGTAATAGGCAACCATTTATGAAGCACTTCCCAGCACTTCGCTTGGTGCTTTCTAAATATGATCTTCATTCTAAGGATGAGGAGACTCATAATTAGCCTCATTTTACAGATGAGGGAACTGGCTCAGCAAGGATAAATTGCTTAACCAAAATGTCTCAGCTACTAAATAGAAGAGCCAGGATCCTTTGGGGTTTGCTTCTAAAATCTGAGGCCTGCCCCATGCCTCCACTGGCAGCTGTGTGGCTTTGGGCCACCCACCTCCCATTAGTTCTCAGTTTGACCTTGTAAAGAAATCGTTGGGCTGGCTAGTGAGTGGTCTGTAGTTATCAAGGACAGTGTCCGCCCCCCCCCCCCGCCCCCCAATTTTTGACCTCACAGCCCTCCTACAGTTCTATGGCCCACTAAAACGGAGGCAGAAACTCCAAGGTTTCTGCCCTCCAGGGGCCTGAAGGAGACGGAGGATAGTGGAGACCTTTCCCGGCACTCTTCACAGCTCTCCGGTGGAGAGCAAGTTGCAGGCCTTGACCTGGACCGCCGCTTCCAAACACGAACCTGCAAACCTCCGTGAGTGGGCGTGGGTGCTCAAGATTCTCCCCCCACCAGGTTGCAGAATTGGGGGAGGGACAGATACCAGTTTAACAAAATCTCTTAGGGGAACTGCATCTGTATAAACCAGAAGTTCCCTGTGACAGACTGCATCCTTTTAACAGAAACGTTTTGGCAGGCCGGTATGCGAGAGTCACTAACTGGGCGACAGATTGTGCACCTTCCCGACCGGACTGGATGTTGATGGTGTGTGGGGAGCGTTTAGAACCCGACTGAGGGCCTCAGTCTCCCCTTTCAGCTACTTCGGTGCTTGCGTGTGATGAAAACGCACCCGAAATTCCACTTCCTTTTGCCTAGTTTCATCTCGGGCCTGAACTTGGGTCTCTAACTCGGAGCTGGACGGAGGGTGGCACGAAGGGACCACAGGGGCCAGGGCCTGATGTCGCCGTTTGGGACTCCTCGGGCTCCAGAAGCCCGGGGAAGGAGCCAGGGTCGTCTCGGACAGCCTCGCGTACGCCAGGCTCAAGAAGCCACTACAGAGCGGATTCACCCAGACGCGGCCACGGAGGACACAGCCCGGCGGCGGGAACCCAGCTGGCCGGAGGCTCCGCCCCTTCCCGCTCGGACCCGGCCTCCCGCTCGGAGCGGCCCGCCCATCCCGGGGTCTGAGCCAATAGGAAACCGAGATATATATGACTCACCATGTCTAACCAATCAGCTCGACGCTCGCTCTCCGCCAGCATCTCGCGCGATAACCAGGCGGCCTCTGACTTCACAATAAAAACCTTCCTTGAGGTGAAAGACTTCTCTCCCCGCCCCCCAGGCTGACGCCGGAAGCGAGGTGTGTCTGAGGAATCCCTCCGCGCTCCCCGGCGGCAGAGGGAGGAGTGGCTCTTTGATCTTAGTAGCCTTGTAAAGTAGCGCGCCTTTTTCCTCTCTCGAGACGTTGGAAATAACAACTCTTCTCTTCACAGCTACGCCGTGGACCTAGAAGTCGCTGGTCGGACACGATAGGGGCGTCGGATCGCGAAAACGGGTGGGTGGGAGGCGCGGGTCACGTGACCGCGGCGGAAGGATGTGCGGGGTGATGCGTCCTCATAGAGGCAAAGTCTATAAAGGACCCTCGATCGGCGCGGCGCGGCCATTTCCCTTCCTCCCGCCTGTAAATGTAGATCCCTGTGGCAAGCGCGCGCCTTCCCTCCTCCAATCCCGCAGGGTCCGCGGCCGCCATGGCGTATTAGAGGCAGCAGTGCCTGCGGCAGCATTGGCCTTTGCAGCGGCGGCAGCAGCACCAGGCTCTGCAGCGGCACCCCCCAGCGGCTTAAGCCATGGCGTAAGTACGGGGCCGCCCGCGCCGTGCTCCCCCGGGTCGGCGAGGGCAGTCGGCCCGCCTGGGCGCGGCCTGCGGCGGGGCGGGGCGGTGCCGCGCAGGGGGAAGCGGCTTTACGAGCGCCCGGGACGCGTGGCCCCTGTTTGGGTGTCCTCGAGACGCCGACGCTTCTGGGTCAGGAGAGTGCGGCCCGGCGGGGAGAAGCGAGCCCTCGGCGGCCCCGGCCCGCGGCCCCCGACGGCTTCCCGCCCGGCCCCCCGCGAAACGTGGCAGGGGCCAAGATGGCGGCGGGGCAGGGCGGCGGCGGCGGCGCAGCGTGAGTCACGGGCGGCCGTGGGCGGGGCCGGGCGGCCCGGGCCGTATTTGGACATGAGCCGGCCGCGCCTCCTCCGGCGGCGGGGGGAGGAGCGGCCCGGCCCCGAGGGCGTCCATCTTGGGCGGCCCGACTGGGCCGCGGGGAAGGTGGAAGCCATGGCCCCGGGGCCGTGTGTCCCCGAGCCTCTGCTCCCGAGTGGAGTTCCAGTCTGGCCGTCCTGCCCCCGGGAGGAAGGGATGAGCTTCCCGGACCGGCCGATGTCGAAGGGGTTTCGGTTTCTGGTTCCGTTTCAGGCTTTTCACGGCATCCAGCAGCAGCGTTGCTGTAACCGACAAAGACACCTTCGAATTAAGCACATTCCTCGATTCCAGTAAAGTCCCGCGACATGGCCGAGATGAGTTTCCTGAGCAGCGAGGTGTTGGTGGGGGACTTGATGTCCCCCTTCGACCAGTCGGGTTTGGGGGCTGAGGAAAGCCTAGGTCTCTTAGACGACTACCTGGAGGTGGCCAAGCACTTCAAACCTCATGGGTTCTCCAGCGACAAGGCTAAGGCGGGCTCCTCCGAATGGCTGGCTTTGGATGGGTTGGTCAGTGCCTCAGACAACGGCAAGGGTGAGTGGGGGTCGTTGGCCGCCGGGTCTGGTCTCCGGGCTGTTGCCGAAGTGTGCGTCTGACCTCACGGGTTCCGTCTTGACTCTTTTGCAGAGGATGCCTTCTCCGGGACAGATTGGATGGTGGAGAAAATGGATCTGAAGGAGTTTGATTTTGATACTCTGTTCAGTATAGATGACCTGGAAACCATGCCAGATGAGCTTTTGGCCACGTTGGATGACACGTGTGATCTCTTTGACCCCCTAGTCCAGGAGACTAATAAGGAGCCCCCTCAGATCGTGAACCCCATTGGCCATCTCCCAGAAAGTTTACCAAAAACAGACCAGATTGCCCCCTTTACCTTTCTGCAACCACTTCCACTCTCCCCAGGGGCCCTGTCCTCCACTCCAGATCATTCCTTTAGTTTAGAGCTAGGCAGTGAAGTGGATATCTCTGAAGGAGATAGAAAGTCAGATTCTACTGCTTACATTACCGTGATCCCTCAGTGCATAAAGGAGGAAGATGCTCCCTCAGATAATGACAGTGGCATCTGTATGAGTCCTGAGTCCTATCTTGGGTCCCCCCAGCATAGCCCCTCTACCTCCAGGGGCTCTCCAAATAGGAGCCTGCTGTCTCCAGGTTCCCTCTGTGGTTCTGCCCGCCCCAAACCCTATGACCCTCCTGGAGAGAAAACCGCAAAAGTAAAGGTTGAGAAACTAGATAAGAAACTGAAAAAAATGGAGCAGAACAAGACAGCAGCCACTAGGTACCGCCAGAAGAAGAGGGCAGAGCAGGAAGCTCTCACTGGTGAGTGTAAAGAACTGGAAAAGAAGAACGAGGCTCTGAAGGAGAGAGCAGATTCTTTAGCCAAGGAGATCCAGTATCTCAAAGATTTGATAGAGGAGGTCAGAAAGGCCAGGGATAAGAAAAGGGTCCCCTAGTTGGGGGTGTCAGGAATGTGTGCTTGTACATAGGCTTGCGCTGAAGCTGTGTTGTAATAAATTATTTTGTAGTGAAAGTACTTAACTCCTGTGTACCTGGTTTCTTGTCTCAATCTCTACCCTGGTGATGGTGACCAAGTCAAGTGGGTTTGGCTCAATCCTGTTGGGCTCAGGGCCTCCACAGGAGACCCTGGGGGTGAGGCTGTGGCCTCATAAGCTGTAACACTGACTAGTCTTGAGTACCCAGGTAAGGCCCCACCTGGGCATACAAGGTTAAATTCCACTTTGAACTTCAAGTTCTGTAAAGTCCATCCTGGAACTGCAAAGAAAAGGTCTTTGGGGTTTTTTTTTGGGATGGACACTTAAGGAGTTCTGAAGAGATGAGATGCAGAAGTTCTTTGCCAGTGCTGGGCTCAAAGGCTGGCAATCTGACCAGAGGAAGCCTTGCTGCAATTGGCGTGCAGGCCTAGCTCTCCAGGAAGAGCCAGTCTTGACATTCATCTGAATGGCGATGGGGACACCCAGTGTGGCACCAGGTAGTGTTGTGAGCATTTTATGTGCTTTCTCCTGGTCCCTGGGGTAACCCTGTGGGGCATTTACTCTGGGGGAAGTAGGTATGTGAAGGAACCTATGCCTCTTCACCCATTTGGCCCCTTGAAGAGCTTGGAAACAAGTGGCATGTGAGGGTCTGTCTGCAAGGTGGGCCTGTGTTTCCCTGACCTGCTTCCCAATGCCCAGCATAGTAACTGGGAGAGCCAG